CCATGGTACAAGTGAAAAAGCAGCCAGTCGTAACTATTAAATTAGTCATTTTTGACTAATTCATATTTAGAGAGTATAAATACATAGTTATGCATGATTTCTAAAAATTGACGTGACGGAACTTTAACCTTCCCTGGAGGATTTGGTTATACAAATATTTTTATTTTATTTAGTTCCAAATTATATTTTGCAAAACAAGTGGGTACAAAAATGTGTTGTAGTAAAGTAATTAAAGCAGTATAAAAGCACAGTTTCCTGATTCAGTTACCTTTCGCAATATTTTTTAAAGAAGGAACGCCGTTCCTGAGCGTTCCTCCTCAAATGGAGCCCTGGTTATAAATAAAAAAGTTGTAAGTTACGAAAATGAAACCAGTAAATTAGATTTAAATAGTTTGATAGAAAAAATACCTCTCTTGGTCCTTTATTTAAAATACGATTTACTTCCTTTTATATTTTGACAAGCTGTACAATAATTGTTGTTAGATTATAAAACTCAAAGGCCCTTTAAAATTAGGTAGGTACCACTCAAATTCCATTTTCATTTAAAATTTTATGTGTTAAAGTAGCATGGCTTAAAATAGCTCGCTCAAAATAAAAATAAAAAAACAATTATAAATGGTAAAATTTGGCCTCGATTTGTTTTTGCTTGCTCTCCCTCTGTTACTAACCTTATAAGGTTTAGGTATAATTATTTGTGAAATTATATTGATTTTAGGCGATTGATAGAATTCTAGAAGTGACCTAAATGTGTACCAGAATCAGATATTCTATTTCTAAGATTATTTTGGAGCCTCCTTTAGGTTATTTCCGTAATGACCAAAAGCATTTAAATCACATTAGCTCAAATAGAATAATAAAACAAAAAAATAACTGAAACCTACCGATCTTTTTACACTTTGATTTTAGATTGTTAAAACTGTTTAAACCCTTAAAGTCGAAAATACAATCATGTAATTTGCGGATTCCTAACATAACAAATACTTATTAATTTTAAATTGTTTGTTTCATGTTGCATGAAAACTAAATTATAATTTTAATTTTTTAATAAATTAATAAACAAGCAAAAAAAAGAAATAAAAAAATTAAATGCCTCTGTCAAAAACTGTGGGGATTTGTCAAAATTTTGGCTTTGGAAATTAAAAACTGATAAGTTTATATGTTTTTCTACTCCCACCTTTAAAACGCCCTTTATCGTACATGTTTTCATGACACTAAGTGACCTTTTAAATACACATTGACAAGTTGTGGCTTTATGGCGCTTTAGTCACGGGCTGAAGTTAGCAACAGGTTTTTAGTCACGGGCTGAAGTTAGTTTTAAGTTAGTTGACAGTTGTCAAATGTCATACAATCGTTAAAATAAAGTGCCTTTCTTGTAAAATAATACTAAATGTGAAAATTATTTTATTATCTCAATACAAAAATACAAAAGTATTAAATAGTTTCTCAACGCCAATATTTGAAAAGTTTATATGAACATTGTACTGACCTTTTAATTTCGCCGGCAAACTATAACTTAAATTCATTTTCTTTACACACATAAAACTGCTTTATTTAAGTTAAATATAACGCTATTCTTAAAAATTTATGTTTGTAATAAAAAAATAATTTTTAAATTAAACAGAATTTTTAAATTGTTTTAAAATTAAATAATGTTTAAAATATTTCTTGGTTTTAAATATAATATGTTTATTTTTAATATATTTATAGTTAATAACAATATATAGTATTTTAGGCGGAACTTTATTGAAATGTTAAAAATCATTATCACATATCTTTAGTTTAAATAATTTTAAATATTCTTTCTTTATTTTAAATAAAAAAATCAACTTAATTGAGATTTAAACATATATTTTTGGCATATATTTCTATTCAACTTAAATCTTTTCGCTTTATTTAAATTAAACATATATTTCGGAGATCTTTTTATATCGGAATAGGTAAATACCCCCACCCAAGCTATACCAGTTTAGGGCCGCCAAATGTGTTCTTTCTCTCTGTGTCGCCCGCCTCGTATAAGCGTATAACCTTAAAATTGTGAATTATTAGAAGAAAATGGATGTTTCCCATATTTTAAGAGATTGGGGGTGCAATGAGGAAACTATTAATGTTTTTATAAGTAAGTATAACTTTATAGTTTATACAAACGCGTTGTAGGTACGTACTGTAAAACATTTGAAATAATATTTTAGAAATTATCTGTACAAGTTTGTATCACATTGTACGACGTTGTATAATTTATTTATTTATTTATTTATTTATTTTACACTATAGCTAGCAAAACAGTTCTTCAGAATTGGTACCGCTAAGTCTATGTTAATTTGAATTAATTCTTCCATTCTTCTATTCCATTATTTAATCCTTTTTTTAATTAGCATTTATAACTTTCCATTCTAAAAAACATTACTTCCAAATATCTTCATTTTATTTTTTTAAACCATAAATTTTGATTAATATTTCTGACATCGATGACAAATATATTTCAAATATTAAATTAATTTGCTATTTATGGTAGGTATATCAGAATGTACATTCTTTTAAGATAATTTAATTTTATACCGTACCTTCATTTGCAAGCTATACATAGGGAAAATACATTGTAGGTGGACCAGACAAGTCGAAGCCAGCGCAAAGTGAAAAAGTTCTCAGAAATTATTAGGACGTAATAAAATTTTAATCGCCAGTAAACAAGGTCACCTGTTACGTCGCATGGCGGCGCGACTTCGACTTGTCTGTTCCACCTACAATGTATTTTCCCTATGTATAGCTTGCAAATGAAGGTATAACAATATTTACCTTCTTACTTAAATTAATAAGTAATAATTAGTACCTACATGTTAAAATTTAATCTTTAAATCTTTAATTTAGGTATACCTACTGCGAATCTACTAAAGAATTTTTCTTCACCACAAAAATGTCACTTTATATATACATATATATATATTTTTAATAATACTTAAAAAGTTTTTCATTATTTGGAATTTTTCTCGAAACTGTCATGGTTAACTTTATGAGCAGCATTAAAAATGAGTTATTTTACAATTAAGTTTGTTAAGCACAGAAAAAGTTGTTGGCGTTTGGTTCCTTTTAGATAAGCATTGTCCAATTTGGATGGATGTGTCATCCAATGATTTTAACATCACAATTTCAACCCCGTCACCCTAAAAACCAAATAATACATTTGTTTTTATTTTGTATAGGCTATACCCTGTTCAAAGTTATCTGCCCACCATTGTTAACTCCGTTACTATTGTAGCTACAACGTCGGTTAAATTAACAAATTTGTCTAATTTTTTTTCTGATTTAAATGGTGCTACTAATGGTTCATTTTTAAGTTTACCCATGTAATAATAATTTTTTCAAATTTTCCAAATTAAATTGTTTCTTAAAATAAGTAAAATATACAGGGTGTCCTATTTAAAAAATGTTAATTTTGTGAATATTTCGAAAACCCGACGTTCAATTGTTTTTTGTGCTTACCATTTTAATCAGAAGAAAAAATGCCACCAATTTGCTAATTTAACTGACTTTTTAGTTCCAATTATAACGGAGTTAAAATGGCATCAATGGTAATGGTAACTTTAGACACGGTGTATGTAATATAATATGTATATATGTATATAATATATACATAATATAGGCACCTAATGTATTTTTTTGATAATACCAAATTTTTGTGTTTAAGTTCCTTGACTTTAAATGTTGTTTTATTTATTTTTATAATTTTATAATATATACATATTGTAGGTACCTAATGTATTTTTTTGATGATACCAAATTTTTGTGTTTAAGTTCCTTGACTTTATTTATTTTTATAATTTTCCTATTAAACCAAAGTAGAATTTAGGATTATTTTTACTACATCATGTTAGTTTTTAGTTTTTATTTTGCAGGTTTAATTTTTTGTTAAAAGCAATATGTAAAAAAATTATAAATGTATTTTTTATAAATATATGCATATATAAACCAAATATTTAATTGTTTTAATTTAATCCTGAGGTATAATTATATTAATTAAACCTTTAATTTCAATAAATTAAATTTAATTAAAAAATATTTATGTAATAAATAATGTTATTATTTAATGCAAATCTAAGATATGTTTACTTCAAACATTATAATTATTTAAACTAATTTTAACCAACATATATATATATAAATGAAAAACCTATTAAATTTAACTAAAACATTTAATAAATTAATTGTGTTTTAAATAAACATACTTTACATTTAAATCATAAATTAACTGTATTTAAAATAAAAATATGCTAGTTTTACATTCAAATATATTTTATGATAAAATATAAGAATAAACTTATTTTTGTTTTAAATATAGTCATTTATTTAAAATAATATGTTAAATTTTAATACAGCAACTGTTTACTTTTTAAAAATATAATAATCTTAAATTAAATACATTGTATAATTGCGTATATTGAAACATATTATATATTTAACTTAAAGAAGTAACGTTTATCTGTAATATACATTTCTATGTGTGTACTTTCACTGTGAAAAACTGTAAATTTTCAAGAAATACATTTCGATTTATAACCTTTGTAATTATGTTTATAAAATTAAAAATTTGACATTTGACGGTGACACACAGATTCATATTGTTTCATAGATGGCGCTCTATACACATTTTTGATTTAAATCATTTTAAGATAATAATAAGTACCTATTTGTCGTAGAAAAAGTATAGTATGCACCTCGTTTATAAACTTTTCTATACACGCACTTTAAGCACTCGCTCGCAAGCTCGCTCGTACCTAAATTAAATTCGTGTATAAAATGGCGTTTATCAAACTTGATACATAATATACCATTATATTTATCACATACAGAGAATTTCACATAAATTCTCATGAATATTGCCTTATTTTGAAACACCCTACTCTATATTATACTTTTTATTGTTCTATATAGCAAAGGGGCTTTAAAACAATGTCTTTTATTATTTCTAGGTCAATTTAAAGTAAGAAAAATATGTTTTTTTTCAGCTGACACCACATCACAATACGATGCAATCAGAGCTTACTTGAAAGAGCTAGACGTAACAAGCGACGTTTGGATTGGCTTATCGAGAACTTCGGAGAAAAAACAATTTACGTGGTCGTAAGTTATCGACCGAAAACTCATTATTTCCAATGCTTAAATTATTATACTTTATTTTCAGCAATTATCGCGAATTAAGCGGCAACGGGTATTGGCAAGATTCCATACCGGTTGGAAATAATCCATTGTGTGTCGTTATGGATCCGTCTTCGGATTTCTTATGGAAAACGATGCCCTGCGGAGGCCCTGACGCTGCCACTTTTGTTTGCGAATTGCCCAGTAAGAATTTAATCGTTTTAGTTTAACCCATTTCCTTAAATAATTACTAAGGTGTACTATCTTTTGGTTGACCCAGTTTTTTCTAGCAAAGAAATACATCTAAGAATTACTTTGCCAAAATAAAGTTTAAAGAAAAAAGTCAACCAAAAGATAGGATATCACTCCAGTAGTTTTTATATTTTTATCACAATTTGATAAATTAACCGTCAAACGTAGCTCTATATCCTATAGGAATTTACAACAAATACTAAATGGGTCGTTTTCAAAAAACACCCGCCTTCCGCTGTCCGTATAACTTATAAGTTTGAATTCCAATAACTTTGTTAAAAATTATCGGATCTTATTGATTTAAAAACCAAGTGAAAGCCTAACAAGCCCTTAGTAAACTCTTTCAGAAAATTTTTGTTTAGTTATTTTAGAATATTTTTTTTTTAATTTTTAAACTTGGGAAACACACATTTTCGCATGTCCCATTAGCGTTTTATAAAACTTACATACATGTTTTTTTTAAATATTGAATAACCAGAACTTTGTGTTGCTTTATAGTAATCCATAACATCCTTAGTTAATACAGTAAACAATTTATATATAAAATAATTAATTTTAATCTACTTGTTTTAAATTTGACTCATGTCCCAGACATTTTTTCCGTTGCGTTACGTCCGTCGCGTTACCGATAGAATATTAAAAAACATATATATGGCAACTTTTTTGGTACTCACGTGATCAACAAATGATGTTCGGACGTACACATTACCCAGCTGAATTTATTTATTTAATCAGGAAGAAGATATCGGTTGAAACAGGTGCGGGTAACACGAATATAATAATTGTTTGTCCGCTACTCAAGTTACTCAAAAAAATAATAAAAATAAGGTAAGAAAAAATACTATTTTTCATGTTTATGTTTATTTTAGGGCACTAAAGCTCATTGAGAGTAATTAATGACTGTAATGTCTTATTATTATTTTTTAAATATGGTTTTACAAAACTTTGTCCACTGCGTTACCGAGTCCACTATGTTACCTTAGGGTAACGCAATGGAATTTAGGGTAACGCAATAGAATTTTTCGACAACAAAGTGGATATTTACCGTCGCTTTTATTAAAAGTAGTTTATGATAAACCAATTTAAAATTATTTGTAATTACAACTCATGATATAGATTACATCCAAAGAAAAATTCCACACAATATAAAAGTACTAAAAGGGACTTATAGCTTATAGTCAAAGAAAAAGGGTTTCTAAAATTTAGAAATCTAAGTTGTTATTCTGCAAGTGAGCACTACTACGAGGGATTTTGTTTATGCATTACTCTAAAATCGTACCACCCTATATAAATTTTTTTTTACGTTATACCAATGTCTATTTCGTTACTTTTTTTAGTTTTTGTTAAAAAAAAATACTTAAAATGATTTTTATACACTTGGTAATACGTGTTTATAAATTAGAGTTTAATTCACTAATACAGTGACTAAAAGAAAATATTGATGGTATTGTTTTTTTAACAAAGAATCGGAATGGTTTCTTTTAAAAAGTAACTTAACGAACATACATATTTAAAGAAAAAAGCATACATTTTTTAATAAAAAATAAAATAAAAAATTGAAGTCAAAAGTTCTTACACAAACTAAGTACATTTTATTTCAAATTATTTTTATAACAATTTTTTTTATTGAATTAAATTTTGGATTTCAAATTGGTAATTGGTAATATAAAGCTAGCTAAACACATTTTTCTGAAAAAAACGTAAAAAAAATTAAAAAGTGCACTGCCTGTCTTAAATGTAAGTAAACAAAACTCTAAACATTTATAAAAATCCAACCAAAAGTTTAAGCAAAAAAAATATTTTGATATTCATTTTCCTGAAAGCAGGTGTTTCTTAAAAATGACCCAAATGTGTCCATTTTGGCATGTATTTTAGTACAATATAGAAAAGAAACACTTAAACATTTAACCATAAACAAAATCGGAAACCGCGCAGCGAAAGTTACTTTTAAATTAAAAGTTTTAATACACAAAGACGATCACTATATAGGCAGAATATGTAATATGTAATCAGCAGTAAAGTAAAATAAATCTGCAGCAAAGTAGAACTTTACTGCCGAATTAATACGAGTATTGTATGCAACCCATTACACATTTAAGATGTGTCTACTGCTCCTCAGCAGCAAATAAATAATATTTAAAAAAAAGCACAGTCGCGGAGGTCGATTTGACCCTTTCATAAAATGTTGTTTAATAAAAATAATAAGTTAATTTTATTAATTAGATCATCTTTGATCATTAAATGACATTTGATTTAATCATCAATATTAATTATTAGTATTATTAAATGAGTCATTTCAAATAAAAACACTAAATGGGGTGCGCTGCTTGATTTTTTATTTTGATAAAAAAATTGAGGATGATCTTTTAGGTTGTTACCTATCAAATATGAAAATCCGTTGCCGTTTTAATTTTTGGATTCTTTACTTTTAATCGGCACCCCTTAGAAATCTGAAATCGTGTCAATTTCTTACTCTCTTATAGTGGGCCAAAACCTTTTTTTCTCTGACAAATATTGAAATGATTTTAATTTTGTTTTACTGTTCAGTAAGTGTGTTTTCGATATAAATTATTATTATCCAATTAGTTAATCTCATAAAAGAATGGTAAACCACTAAAGATTCATGATAATTTGCCATGCTAAATCTAGTTATGTTTTTTTCAGGTACCAAGTACTTATACAATAGAAAACGTAACTATTATTTTAAGTTTCTAGACTATCATTTTCTTTATTAAAAAAATTATTGAAACTTGATAATTCTTAAAATTAGTCAATTTTGCCCTCATAAATCATTATGTTGAGGAAAAAATAAAAATCTGAAACTTTTAGGAAATTTAGTTCCCACCTTCATCTTTTCAGTCCAGTTAGTCTTGTTTTGTTATTTTTATTCCTTTAAAAGATATATTAATTTTTTAATGCCCGTTTAGTAGCGATATTGTTAGTTTTATTTATAATTTAAAATTTAGATGGCTTTCATGTTTGGCAGAACTATTTCATAAATATTATTTGTGCGTATTTCTTTGGTAAATTTTGTGTATAACATAATATGCCATATTATGTTACATACAAAACTTTTTAAAATCACCAAAGGAATACCACAAAAAATAATTATGAAATATTTTTGACAGTTCTGATATATTTGGTAGTTATGTTATATTTTGGAGTTCGATTTTATCCTCGGTGAGAAGCGCATCGCTCGTGCATAGCTCCATGAAAAAGTGTGAAATATAGTTGACTTTGACTCAGGGAGGACAAAATCGGATTCCAGTCCTAGATAATATTCCTCGTTTTGTCCTTTTTTAAAGGAATAGAGGAATTTATATGAACATATAAATTTCAAGGTTATATAACCTATTTGTGTCCACGTGTTCGTTAGAAAACCGTTGTTACTTGTGACTGGTTAAAAGAGCCACAACGGCTCAGACCAATTCCATTACTGAGGGAGAGGCTTATGGTACTCCGGAGGTAGTGGAGAAAAATAAAGAGAGAGAGAGAGAGTTATATTTTATGTATTGTAAAGTATAATAAGTGAAATTAATAGAGAGTTAATTTAATCATATAAAAAATGCGTTAAGCAGTTTTTTGTCGGTTTCTTTCACAATTTAAACCAAGTTAGTCTTGTTCTATTATTTTGATCCCTTTAGAATGGTTAAATGTTATATGTATGTATTTTAAATGTTAGTGTTTAAAAAAAAATTACACAATCTGTAAATACTTCTTTAAATTTTAGTTTTTAGGTAACTGGTTAAAATAAAAAATGTTATAATAAAGGGGTTTATTTAGAATATTTTTTGGTTTTTGCTTATTTTTAACAATTTAAAACTTCTCAGAACTTGAATATTTTTTATGAGAAAGATGTCCAAAATTATGATATGTTCTTGCATTTTTAATTGCAATTAAATTATTGAATCTCGAACACTCCGTCATTTATTACACTTGCAAACTTGCAAACTTTTTGAAATAACAATTTAAATACGCACAAATAATATTTATGAAATATTTTTGACAGTTCTGACATTTCTCTACCAAACATGAAATCTAAATTTTAAATTATAAATAAAACTAACAATATCGCTTCTTAACTGCATTAAAAAAAATATTATATCTTTTACATGGATAAAAATAACAAAATCAGACTAACTAGACTGAAAAGATGAAGGTGGGGACTACATTTCCTGAAAGTTTCAGATTTTTATTTTTTCCTCAACATAATGATTTCTGAGGGCAAAATTGGCTAATTTTGAAAATTATCAAGTTTCAATAATTTTTTTAATAAAGAAAATGATAGTCTGGAAACTTAAAATAATAGTTACGTTATCTATTGTCAAAGTACTTGATACCTGAAATAAAGCAACTTTCTATATTTAGCAGAATAGGCACAGGAGCCAGACAAAAATCACAAAAATTGGCAAATTATTACAAATCTTTAGTGGTTTACTATTCCTTTATGAGATGAACTAATTAGATAATAATAATTAATATTGAAAACATACTTACTAGCAGTAGCGTGCAAAGGTGATCGGGGGCCCCCCCGCAAATTCTGAGCTGGGGCCCCTTTGTCACTTATACCACCCAATGTGGTTCTCTACGGGGCCCCCCTAAGGTCGGGGGCCCCCCCGCACCGCGGGCCCTGCGGGGCCCGTCCTGCACGCCACTGCTTACTAGGCAGTAAAATAAAATTACAATCATTTCAATAATTGCCAGTATGAAAATGACACAATTTCAGGTTTCTAAAGGGTGCCGATTAAAAATAAAGCAACTAAAAATTAAAACGGCAACGGTTTTTCATATATAATACCTAAAAGATTATCCTCAAATTTTTTCATTAAAATAAAAAATTATGCAGCGCACTTTAAAATTCTTTTTTGGTGTTTTCATTTGGATTGACTCAAATGTGATTTCGGAAAAATTAAATATTCACCTCGGCATTAAAGTCATTTTTTATCACTCATGTGCCACATGACATGTGGTAATTTCCACATTCGTGATAAAAAATACTACTTTACTGCCTTGATACATAAATAACTATTATAAATCACTCCTCTTTAATTTATTAAAAATAAAAAATCCCCTAAAAAGCTCCTCAAGAAATAACCCCAAAACTAAATAATTCATCTAATATTCCAATCCAAATAATTTATGCAAGCACTAGTTTAAGCGCTAATAATAAACTACATCGAAAAACTTTTCATATTACAGTCTACCTGAATTTTAAAGGAAAGACTTTATTGATTAAAGTGGTTTTCTAAATAAATTTGAACAGTTCCAGACTGGGCAACGGGGCCACAGGGATGTTTGATTACGGAAGTTCCGTCACTTACAATTTTATACATTCCGGAACATTCGGCAGTAGAATTGACAGCAGATTGCGGCCTGGACGGAACGAAGAGGATCTCCTGCAAAGGGAAAGCGGTATGTAGACATTTCTATTGACATTTTATTTTTAATAAAATTTGTTTTAATAATATGGTGGCCGGAAGAGTCCAAAAAGTCCCCAGGTCTCCAAAAGGGATATTTTACATTCTTAAATACTTTTAATATCATTAAAAAATGTCGCTGTTTCTAAGGAAACATTTGGGTTTTTTTTTTTATATATATATATATAATGTCTCGAATGTTCAAATCGCTTCGGGAATGTTACCACCTTAAAATAATATATAATAATGTAACGTTTTTACTGTTCGTAGTGTAAATTAAAACACGCACTGGTTTATTAACGAACTAAACTATTTATTATTTTAATTACACTTAAAACACTAAAAATATAAAATTATAAATCTAACTAAACACTTAACTAATAATTATTTATATATCACTACTGTTCAAGAGTCTATTTATTTGCACGTATATTTATTTATTTATTTTGTCGCGAGTACCAAAGCTTGACTGACTCTCCATGATGCGTCGCATCCATTAAAAAACTAATAAACATATCATTTAAATTTTAACACCATTTTAAATTATTGAAATTTTGTTAGTTAACACAACTTGAAAATTTAATTTTTAAAATTTAAGGCTAGTTTCATATATTAATATTATAATATATTAATCCTATACAAATTTTAATTTAATTGGATCACTAGCGGAAATTTTATAAGGGTTAAAATGATTAAAGTTTTGGTTATTTACAGTAAGTTAAAAATTAAGTTATTTTAAAAATTATTTAAAATATCATTATGAAAATTTAATGTAATAATAATCTTATTTCTATATATAGAATTATTAAAATTTTATTTGATTAGCATTGGCAAGTTTATACTTACTGGTTTAAAATGCAAATATCTAAATGAAAGATTACACATTTATTTCAATAAATTTAATACAAATAATGCTTATAAAATAATATACTCAAGAAGTATTTTGTCTGTAGTAAAACTTATAGTAACAATTCTGTGTATGTAAAATCTTCGTTTTTTTTCTTTTTTAAAATTATTCTTTTTTATATACGAGGTGTGTTCAGAAAATAACGGGAATTGTTAAATTTCGCGGGTTCGGAGGGTGCGGTTGTCATAATTATGTTGGTATATATGCCCCCGAAGTATGATAAAAACTTTAGCTGTTTTCATTGTTTACTCTGTATGTGGCAGCCGCTAAGGTTAGACGTGTTTTATGAGCTCGGTGATTTTTCGTTCGTTAAAAGAAATGGATCAAAGAATTTGTATCCAATTTTGCTTAAAAAATGAAATAAATTCAGTGAAATGTTAACAAAGGGGTATAGTGAGTCTGCTATAAGTAAAACAAGAGTTTACAAGTGGTATAAGAGTTTCCAAGATGGCCGTGAAGACGTTGAAGATGACGAACGCCCCGAACTCACAAGCGCATTAACAACCGATAAAAACATGGAAAAAGTGGCAGAAATGGTTATAAACCATCAGAGAAGTCGCTAATGATGTTGGTATATCGATTGGCTCATCCCATGAAATTTTTTCGAATGTTTTGGGTATAAAACGCGTGGCAGCAAAATTTGTTCTAAAATTGTTAAATTTTGAACACAATTTTTGCCCAAAAACAATACTGTAATGATGCCCCAGCCTCCATATTCGCCAGACATGCCTCTGTCTGACTTTTTCCTATCCCAAAGATCGAGTTTTAGAAGTTTTTGAAGACTATTGGAAGAAGAGCTGGCGCATGTGCATAATATCCAATGGGGACTATTTTGAAGGCAACAACATTAATGTAGACGAATAAATAAATATGTGTTTCAAAAAACGAAAATTCCCGATATTTTCTGAACACACCTCGTAAATGAATCGGAGGTTGCTAGAAGTCTATGAAGCAAGTCTTCAATAGTTGCAGATCTTGATATTTCTAGTACGATTCTCTAGAGTATTTAAAGTCCTTGTTCCTTGCCTCCTGAGCCTTCTTAACGCAACATAAAATAATTCAAATAACATCAACTTAACAAGCCTGTATTAATTATATATGTATTATTTCATTAAATGTAAAATTTTTCCGAAGGGACCGATTAAAAATTTTTAGTCATCAAATAGTATTTTAACACATTTACATTCAATTTAAGTACTATTTATTTAAATCATGTAAGTATGTTATGATTTGATAAGTAGGTAACATCAAATTGAAAATGAGATGTGATATTTTTTTAGTTAAAAAATGTATAAATTTTTTGCAAATTTCCAAGCAACCATTAAAAATACATTTATATTTCAGGATAGGGACGAAATATTAAAACAGCTAACTTGTACCATAACTCAAGACGACGATTTTGATGATAAATTCACCAGACAGCAAATTTCCTCCACAATTCAACCCGAAATATCTCAGGAGGAGAACACAATCAGCAGCAAGACTACGATTTGGATCTGGACATCGAACACGATCAGCTTAGATTATGGCATTCCAACGAGACATCGACGTGAAACTGAAGATACTCTTAGCCCGGCTAGTAGTAAGAGCACCACTTCTTCTGATGCCTTGATGAAAAAGGATGTTATGAATACCACGGAGATGCCGCAATCTGCAATAAGTAAATGTAAGACTTTTTAGATATAAACATTAGTTTAGGGTTCAATGACTTTATAAATCCATTTATTGATTAATGTATTTTGTATATATATATATATATATATATATATATATATATATACAGGGCTTCCCAAAAGTTGAAGGAGTCAAGAAAAAAAATGAAAACTTAGGGATCACTATAGCATCATAAAAACTAAATTCTTAGATAGTTTAGACTTCCATGTAACGTGGAGTTTTTAGGGGTGGACCACCCCAACATTTTAAATAGCAACCTGTTTAAATAGTATTGAAGATTTTTTAAAAATAAAAACAAAAAAAAAGACTATCACTATTTGCAGATGATACTGTAGTTACTAAGGCGCTAGGTCCTAGCGGCTAGGACCAGTGTAGATCTTAATAAAATAGCAAAAAAATGTGTATGAAAACATTTTGTAATGTCAACAAATTGTTTTTGTCCATGTTCACTGATAGAAACATGTCCAACAATTTAAGATGTACCAATGAAATTTTAATCCCAAAACATGGGCTGTGTCTTACAGCCCAGAGCCCTATATGATAATGCCAATTAAATTTTATAATCATGTTTCAGTTGGAATTAAAATATGTAAAACAATTTATTCATTTAAAAAAATGTTGCTTGAAAAAAACAATTTATTCTCCAGAGGATTTTTTTAGCCATAGATATTAATTGTGAATGTTAGTACTGATCAATTGTTCTAGTTTTGGATGTATTTATTATAATAATTAAATATAAAAAAATATATGGATATATCCATATATTTTTTTATACCATATTGTATCCAACATATGTAATTATATGTAATGTATTTTTGGAAATAAAATTTTTATTATTATTATTATTATCTGGAAGATGCTTATCTCATCGGCAATTAATAATATTCTAATAAATGCCCCATGGGGTAAAACATAACATTTCCATTTAGTACAGTTCTTATCACTCACAAGTAATAAAAGTTTAAGTTAACAAGTAAAAATACCATATAATTCTCACTCTTAATTCTATATTCAACAAATTTAATTATTAAAAATTCAAGTTATAAATTTCGGCTCGAAGTTCTGCAGAAAATAATAATATTAAAAATAATAATAATAATAGAAATAATAAAATAATAATTTAATTTTAAATATAAAAGAAAAAAAAACATTCTGAGAAACTAAATCAAATCTATTTTTTTTATTCAGAATATATACTAAATATTTACACTGAAAAAAAATATTCTTGTATCAAATAATTGTATTTGATTCAAAACAATCTTTGTCTTATATAGGTATAACCATGATACAAAGATCATGAGGTATAACGAAGAGAATATATTCTTTAAAATAGTAAAGTATTTTCTGAAGTCACGTTGATTTACTTCAAGAATCGTTTCTTAATATAAGAAAATTAAATTTCTTTAAATAAAACTTGATTGTTTAAAAGCAAGAATATATAATTTTTGAAATAAGGCAGCAATATTTACTTAATTCAAGAAAATGTATTTTCCGTAACCAAATAATTATTATATAATTATAATTGGCTGTTTTAAAGCAAGAAAATGTTCTTTTAAAAATAAGTTAGTGGTATTCTTAAATAAAAAAGATACTTAATTCAAGAATAAATTTTCTCAAAACAAAAACATGTAATATTGAAATAAGGCAATAAAAATGTTTTCTATGGCCCAATATTTTTTTTAAAATAATGGATTCAAGATTTAAAATTTATTTCATTAATTACAAAATAATATTTATTTTAAAACAATGCAAGAAGTATCGTTAAAAATAAAATGTATCATATATTATATCACGAGAACTATGAATTTAATCGGTTAAACTAGGCTCAGTAGTTTTTTGTTTGGTTTTTCTTGGAAAATGGTGAATGCAAAATAATTTAATAAAATCACGAGACCGCGTAGCGGTCGAGGGGTTTTATTTTTAATTATTTTGCATGAAACTATTTTCAAAAAAAAAAATCAAATAAAAAACTTACTGAGCATAGTTTTACGGGCGTTTCTCTGTAAACGGCAACTCATTGTCTCAAGCTAATATTGTTTAGAAAAATAACAGATCATAAATATTTCGTAGATAACTTCAAAAGATAATAACCTAATCTACCTATGCTCGACGTTCAAAATCCAATAAAATAAACTTTAATGTATCAAAATCGTTTTTATAGTCCTTAAAAACCAGTCCCCTGACGTGTCACCAAAGCAAAATGGTCACTTCAGACTAAATTAATTAAAGACAGTAACTATTGGAATCAACCTAATTGTTTAATTATTCAACCAATATTGGTTGCTTGTTACTGTGATTTATTTTTTATAATTATTATTTTGTAATTCTAAAAAAGTCATCTAAACTTTGTCTCCGGATTTCATAAACAGTCCCCTGTATAGATTTTTCAGAAAATGCTCAATGTTTTCCAAAGTAATAGGACTATTTTTGGTTCATCTGCCGTATACTAATAAATAGACCGATATTTATTCCTCGAATAACATTTATTAAATACAACAAAAACATAACAAAAAAACTTGCCTAGACAATTTCTTACTTCAAGTTGCCCAGTTTACAGAGAAACGCCCTTACAGATTAAATTTATAGGTTGAGTGATAACGTCTAGATTATTTCTCAAATTAAAGGAAACCATTTGACAATTCATATAATCTGACGTATGTGTCAAAATTTATAAATATTTTTTTAAAGAAAATTCCATTAATTTAAGGTATGTAATAAGTAATAATTGATATTTCGTAAACTAAATAACTTATTTTTTATTGTTTTTTAAAAAATGTTTGTAAAATAACACCATAAAATCGTAAACAAAAATCCAATATGGAGGCTAAAATTTAATCGCTGTTAAATAGTTCTAGTGATTTAATCGCTTATTTAAACGAAATTTATTCGAAAATTCAAGGCTTTTGATTGGTTCATATTATAATGAGGGAAGTAATCTATCTTAATTTTAAGATACTTTTAGCAATCTATCATTTTGTATTTAAAATCAATAAAATTTTAAATAATGATACGTTTTTTAACTAAAAATTATTTATTTTAATAATAAAAACATCTTTATATTTAGGAATATTACTGCAAAAGAAATAAAATTTAAAATAAAAATACGTCTAAACACTTGAAGGGGACTGGAGCAATTTTAAATATCCTGTAACTTTTTAAGAATTGTTGTCTAATCTTAAACAAAACTTTATATTTAAATACTTACGGATTATCAGAGCTGTCACAAGTCACTTCTAAAAAGACTTAAGTCATAAGTCGTAAGTCTTTTTTGAAATAAAAATGACTTAAGTCTTAAGTCATTTTTTCTATAAAACAGAAAAGTCTTAAGCCTTTCAAAAAGACTTAAGTCATTTTTAGGGACTTTAGTCCCTAAAAATACTTAAGTCGTTTTTAGATTTAAGTCGTTTTATAGGTTTAAGTCGGAAAAAAAAGATTTAAGTCGAAAAAAAAAAGATTTAAGTAAAAAAAAACAAATACCTTACTCATTTTGAGAGAATCAAAACAAGATCAAAGAGTATATATCTAATAGATACTCTTTGACAAGACTTTTAATGAAATTTATTTTTAAAATAGGTGCATAACATTTTTAGACTTAAGTCATTTTAAAAAGATTTAAATCATTTTTAGACTTAAGTCATTTTAAAAAGACTTAAGTCATTTTTTTGTTTTAAGTCATTTTAAAAAGACTTAAGTCCTTACGCAAATGTAGAAAAAGCTTAATAATACAAATCATTTTGAAAATGACTTAAGTCTTAAGTCTCAAGTCGTCCAAAAAAAAGAGACTTAAATCAAATGACTTAAGTCACAAAAATGACTTAAGTTAAAAAAAAAGACTTAAGCTTTCTGCTGTCTGACAGCTCTGCGGATTATTCAAAATTGAGCCAAACTTACTGAAGGGCCAAAGTATACGTTATATCGTTTATAGGTGGTGCAGTAAGCAAAAAAAATTAGGTTAGAAAATAAAAACAATCGTTGAACAAACACATTTATTTTGTTTTAAATACAAGAAAAATTTAAAATGTATACATTATTATAAAATAACGTAGGAAACTTAATCATTATTATCGACATATTTTTCATTTTAAATAATTTGTAATATTTTAGGCATAGTAGAAAAGCAATTACCAATTTTATAAAATAATTTAGGGCTATAGCCCAATATATTGCCAATTAACTCCACCCTAAATAAATCAAAATTAATGATATAAACCAAAGTGTGTAACAAAATTACTTCTAAAACAAAATCTTTTTAAATGTGATAAAATAAATTAAGTTTATTAACTTAAAATTATAGAGCAATACAAATCAGAGTGTTACACATAAGATATTTTGCTTATCACTGAAAAGCCTATTTATTTATGAATAAAATAATTTTAAGGCATCCTTAATGCATATTAGTAAATATTTAAACAATAAACCTACCTACCTACACGTAAATGCGACGCTAAATTTTAATAAGGGTGGTATATCATGATATTGCAATACCAACTTACTTACCTTCAATTTTTTTTTTAATTTCCTCCGATGCTGGCCACTTTTAAAAGTTTTTTTTATGAAATACGCCCTCTCCCTCACAGAGAGAAAGAAACACTGCATGATTAGGCATAACATTTCAGAGGAACGTGTCGGCATCTCCACACTCAGAGAAATATCATGCCATGAAATGAATATAAAATTATATTAATTTAAATAATCGGGTAAATTTGATTCAAATAGAAAAATTTGTAGTTTTATATTCATTTACCAACAGTTTTACAATACTTTTAAACACTTTTAAAGAGGGTATACCCTCTTTAAAATATATATACAAAAAGAAATCTATTTATTGCATTGCCTTTCTCAACGTTGTTTTAAAAAGATATGTATTATAAATCGTTATACACCTATTAATTTAATGGGACACACCAATGACGCCAAAACATATTTGAATCCCTTTGAATTATTATCGTTTTGAATGATTCTACAACATTTTTTCTCTCAGTGCACTCCTACACGATTTCAAAAAATATGTATTCTTAGCAAAAGAAATTACTATTTGTTAAAACGAATAAAAAAAATTAAGAATATCTAATTCTTAATATAAAAAAAATTAAACAAATAAAAAAAATAAGAATATCTTATTCCTGATACTAAGATTTCCTTGTAGAATATTTAAATTGAAACATGCAACTTTTTAAAACAAGAAATGTTTTCTTAATATTAGAATATTTCCAAAACTACAATTTTTTTTTTAAGAAGTTAAATATTTTTAGTTGAAATATAAACTCCTGGACAAAATTAACGCAACATCATAAATTTGTCACATTTTTTATGCTATTTTTTTTGAATTTAGGATCCGATTTGAATGATTTTTTTGCATTGTAGGTTGGTGCCTTGACAATGTCATAATTTTCGCTGTTTATGATAAAAAGTTCATTTTCGATTTATACCGGGTGTAATAAAAATGTCATGTTTTTTTCCGAAAATTCGTATCACCGGGTGTTATAAAAATGTAATGTTTTTTCCGAAAATTCGTATCACCCTGTGGAGTATACTAAACCTATAGCAGTTAACATTAGACGGTAGGTCCATATTTCGCCAACAAATTCTTTTTTGGTTTACTTCATTATCTCTGTTATTAAAGGAGATACGCTGTTTTATAGCGTAACATGTTTTTATAGACTTTATTATTCAAAACAATAATTGTTAAATGTTTTCAAGTAGGCTATGGAAAATTCGCCATACTTATAAGTATATATAACAACTGTTCGAAAACTGCTTATTAAACGTTTGTTTCGTATTTTAATCTTGAAAAATGAATCGTCCAAAAAAAAATTTCGACAGAAGAAGCAGTAAGAGACTTAATTTTGGTTTTCGACTATAAGTCGTATGGTTAAACGATTTAAAGAGACAGGATCTTACTCTTCAAGGTCAGGACAAGGGCGAAAACGATGTACCCATCCAAGGGATGAGCGTTTCATTAGGCAAACTGCTCTAGAAACAGGAAGATTACTAGTACTAGGCTAAAAAGTGAGCTTAGAACTGCTCGCCATAATACAATATCGTCTCGAAAAATCAGGAGACGTTTAAATGAGGCAGGTTTAAGCAAGAGAAGACCAGCAAAGAAACAATTACTTATCAGAGAGCACAGAGTTTCAAGATTGCGTTTTGCCAGAAATTATCAACATTGGACTGTTAATGATCGGAAGGTTTTATTTTCTGATGAACGAGAGTTAGTCTCAATTCTCCTGATGGTGTGAAAGTGTTTGGCGAAGGTCAGGAGAGAGATTTGCAAGTGGCAATATCTCTCCTAAAATCCCGTTTGGTGAAGGCTCTGTAATGTTTTGGGGAGGAATATGCTTCAACGGACGCACAGAGTTAGTATACGTGTAAGATCAATGAACGCCGATTATTATCTAGAAAACATTGTAATTAAACATGTAATGCCATTTGTTCCTTTTTGGGACCGAATAGTTTATTTATGCAGGATTATGCATTTATCAAATCGAGCAGAAATTATACAATTATACAGATAACAAATAATCTAAACATCTCTTGAAATGTCAGAAAAGGTCCATAGCCTACTTGAAAACATTTAACAATGATTGTTTTGAATAATAAAGTCTATAAAAACATGTTACGGTATAAAACGGCGTATCTCCTTTAATAACAGAGATAATGAAGTAAATCAAAAAAGAAAATGTTGGCGAAAAATTAACCTACCGTCTAATGTCAACTGCTATATGTTTCGGTTGCTAGTATACTCAACAGGGTGATACGAATTTTCGAAAAAAAACATGAAATTTTTATTACACCCGGTATAAATCGAAAATGAACTTTTTATCATAAACAGCGAAAATTATGACATTGTCAAGGAACCAACCTACAATGCAAAAAAAATCATTCAAATCGGATCATAAATTCAACAAAAAAATAGCATAAAAAATGTGGCAAATAGTTTGATGTTGCGTTAATTTTGTCCAGGAGTTTATATTTTAAAACAAGTTGACTTGAATTAAAGAAATATTTTCAAGATGTTAGGTTTTGTAAATATAAGAAATCTTTTTTTTCAGTGCATGAATTTATTAAAAAATGGAATCTTAAGCAAAGATATTAAAACATGAAATACACATTTTTTTTAAAATAGCCATTTAAATGTATCTATATTTAACATATTTATTTAATCTTTCAGTTCTATCAACGGTATCCTCATCAGAACCATCCGTTTCAACTGAAGGCATAGTATCGATTCATTTTACTTCTACTCCGACCTCCCAAACGAAAACTGAGACCCAGGAAACCATCGTGGAAACGATTCCAACTCGTTCAAAATACGACCTGAGTTCCACTGTCGAGACCAACGTCGAGTCTGGAACTTCCGGTATTTCAACGGAACAAGTTGATCATTCTGGAGCCATTAATCAAGGACAACTATTTAGCATTATCGAAAATGGTAAGTTTTCTTTTTAAACTTTGCTTTATCCCTGATAGCAAAATTTGATTCTAAGAATCTTCTAAGAAGATATGACCCGGAATAATGGAATATTCTTAGAACCTTCCCTTATTGCTAAGAATGTTCTTAGGGACTTTTAAAACATTCAATAGATACCCTTTTAATCAGTGGCGTAGCGTGGACTAATATAGACGTGGGCGAAGTCGCATCAGCGAGGCCCCTTTTCTTTCGTTCCCAAGATAAAAATTATTTTTTAAATCCCCATTTTATAAAAATATCTAGGAAGTTATTAAAGTTATGATAAAAAACGTTTTTTTTCTTAAAACTTTAACACCCTGTAACTTAAAAATTAAGAGGTTTAGGTCATAGGTTTATTTGAACTTTTTTCTTAAAATCAACTAAGGATTCACACCCTTAAGGTTCAGCATCTTATTCTGAAACACCCTGTATACAGTGTGTCGCGCTTTTCATAACTCCACCCTTATATCTCAGTTATTAATAATGCGATTTTCTTTAAATTTGGGTGGTGATTGTTTGTTGGAGACACTTAATATTTTCCATGGTAAAATTTTTTATTTATCATTGGCGTACGGTGTTAGGGGGTAAAAACTTTTTTAATCATATTCAGCAAATAAAATTTCTTAAAGATTTTAAGAATATGGATTAATCTCTTAAGTGGCCATATCAATATGCTAAAGTTACATTTCTGATGGCTCACTATTTTTCCGGATGCGAACATATACGTCATGTGCATTACGTAACTAATCGGCCGTATATATACGTCGTAATCGAGCACTTTTTCAAATAAACGTATATATACGTCATATATATCAAAAATAAAAAGTAACTAAAACATATTGGGTATAATACTAATAAGTAATAAGTCAATATGTTATTTATTTTATTAATCTACACAGCTAGGTAAATATATTATTATATACAAGAAAAGTACATTTTGTACTCTGGTTTTGGGCATAAACCCTGTTGAATTAACCCGGTAGTTTTGATTTAATTTCTGTTTTTCTCTGTCCATTTCCTAACTCTAGAGTGTCGTTTTATGTTTGCGTGATTTCTCAAAATAAACTGTATAGCATATCTATTTGTTTCTTCCACAATTATATCAAACACATGTCTATTATATCAGTTAGATTGTTTATCTGTACGCCACTGGTTGCCGTGAATTTAAAGTCCAAGGCATGTCAAAATTTATTTCCTCGGCCTCTTCGTTTTCAGCACAATCGACATTGTGGTTTTCAGAAACATTATCACTTTCCTCAATATTAGGTACTTTCAAATTCTTCACTGTAATTTGAATCGCTTTCCGATCCATCAGAGCCTGTAAAATCACTATTTTCGACGCTAATATCATCACAATGCATTTCAGTAGGCTAATCCGATATAATATTATTATTAACAATATTCTTTTACCAAATAAACACCGGGTTTTTTACAATAAATTACCAAGGAATAACTAGCACGTGCTGCGCAAACAAATAAAGATTGTTACTGCGTACGTCCAACACTATTTCGTGGTATTTTCTCATCAAGCTATCGAATAGGCACCCCCCTACACTGTAGACCACCGCATGCGAGTATATGCGGCATAACCATTAAATGCTCGAAGTAAAATTTCAATGCGAATATATCCGTCATAAGCGCTGGAATATAAACTTTAAAATCCGGATATATACGTCATAGCCACTTAAGAGGGTTTTTGGGGATGCTGAATCTATATAGGATTAAAAAATTTATCTAAAATAAGCCCTAATATCCTTTTGCCGAAAAATCGACCCCCTAAAACCGTACGCCAATGATAAATAAAAACTTACTATGGCAAATATTTCATTTCTTCAGCATACAATTACCAGCCAAATTTAAAGAAAATCTCATTATTAATAACAGATTGGATTTATGAAAAGCGGGACAAATTATTAAACCAAACAAATGTGGCCCTTTTATTCGGCAAATGATGCACCAACTATTCGATTAACTGTTTAATTCTACTTTACTTACATAACTAAACTTAAATAATAATTAAGGAACAATCATAAATGTTCTTAAACACATACAGCAAATTAAATGACAGTTATTTAAATCGCGAAAGGTGATATATACATTACCTACAAGTTGTAGGCCACAACTTGGTATTTGTTTATAATAGGTGGCGTATTAAAGTGAAATCCACACATACTTTCACAAGTATGTGAAAATCCATTGTAATCACTATTTCTGTGATTGTAATCGATTAAAATTGATTAATTATTAGTATATAAGGATCTTAAATTTACATATTTTTTAGGTTTTTATTTAATTTAAAAATAAACGGAGATTTGAAGTCTGATGGCATCGCATTTAAAGAGGCCTCGCGAGGCCCCTTTAAGTGCGAGGCCGTGGGCGAGGGCCCACTTCGCCTACGCCTAGCTACGCCACTGCTTTTAATGATGCAATTAGATTCTTAGAAGCTTCTTAAAACCTTCCTAAAAAGCATTCTAAGAACATTTTAAAAATACGTTTTTGGAATGTTCTTAGAGGGTTTCTTATGGAGCTTCTAGGAAGCTTTTGAGAATATTTCCAAATATGTCAGAAACCCACGTTCTAATATGTTGGATTCTACATTCGTAAAATTCTTGAGGAGGCGACAAATACGCCTCACTGTCATAATATGACAGTGAAATGTATTTGTCGTCCCCTTAAAAAAAGTTGCGACATATTAATATATATTTATTTAAAAATATTAAATAAACAATTTGACCTCTAAACCATAAGTTGTATGACATTATTTCATAAAAAGTAAAATTGGAAAATTTTGTGGGATAAGTCAGATTAGATTAAAGTTGAAGATACCTAGTTAGGATTATTATACATAAAAATGTTAATTTAGAAATAAAAAATCGGTATACAAATTAATAAATATTTATTTTTAACATAAAATGAAATATAAAAAACAAAATATTTCCTTATAAAATAATTATTCATAAAAGAAAAAACCAAATAGTTATTCATAAAATAAACATTTTTCATTGTATTTAAGTTGGATAGAAGATTTTATGTAAAAGCCGGATAATTTAGATACCTATAGTAAAAGTATTTTTGTTATCGAATATTGTTTTAATTTGACAAATAACTATAAAAAAATATTTTGGGTTGTGTTTTTTACTTAGTATTTAATACTAAGTATAGGTACCTTTATACGTAGATTATGGTATTTTTTACTATTATATAGGTACCTAACTGAACTGAATATATTCATATATGCTTAACAGAATGTTCCAGGAATATTCCTTAATGAACTTTCTATAGCAATTACTTTCTCAACATTCTAAGCATATGTTTAGAGTGGATTAATTTTTACCCCTAAACTTTGCACCTTCTAAGAACCTGCCTATAGGCCAGTGAGAATATTCTTAGGATTATGCTATATTTCTTTTAAGCGTGTTCTTTAGAAGAAATATAGCATGATCCTAAGAATATTCTCACTGGAAGGTTTAAAAACATTCTTAGAATAAACTGTGCTATCAGGGATTGTGTTATTTTCAAGTTATGAAGATAATAATAACTGCTTTATTGCCCTTTGTTTGGTAGATTTATGAATTGACATTTATTTTAAGGTACTATGATTGATTTTATCGAGTTGAGCGAGCCAGGGCAACACGAAACAAAAATAAATGAATCGGATACAACACCTCAGGAATATGCATCTACCAGCTTGACGATACTTAACACAACACCAATTTTACCAATCAAAGAAAAAAAAGTACCTAAAGAAGAGAAATTCGCCAAAAAAACCCAGGTACCAACCAAAAAGCAAATAAACAAAACTGCGACGAAATCCACTTCCGATTCTTCCAAACAGAATAGGTCAAAAGAAATAGAAATGCTTCCAGTCGTACACGATACTTCTGAAGTACTAAATCGCACTTTTAGAAAAAGTTTGCCCCAAACTCCACAGAAAGAAATTTTATCTACAATTAAGTCTACCTTATTAACTAAATCGACTCCCAAACCGAAAATTTCGGAAGAAGTTCCGATTTTTCCAATCATACACGATACTTCTGAGGTATTAAATCGAACTTTTAGAAAAGAAGTACCACAAATGCCAACCAAGCAAACAATGAATCTTACTCTTGTTTTAACCGGGAATTTTGATGAAAAGGATCTTGGGTCAGATAAGGATGTCAAACCAGTTGAGGTAGGTTTATCAGAAATTTGGTTAATTTCATAATTAATAAGTCAATTAACAAATTAAATATTTTATTTTTTAATTTATTAAAAATGCAATGTTCTCAACAATGCATCTACAGACTCCTCACTATCGTCCAGGATTTCGTTCTAAATAATAGGAAACCGTATATGAAAAACATTAAATATAAAATTAAAAGTTCAATCATGATTTAAAAGTTTTTTGATATAATCAATTATAATTTCCCTGATTTGATTTTGATTTTAAAAATCTTGAACCGGAATAATGGAATATTCTTAGAACCTTCCCTTATTGCTAAGAATGTTCTCAGGGACTTTTAAAACATTCAATAGATACCCTTTTAATGATGCAATTAGATTCTTAAAACGTTCCTAAAAAGCATCCTAAGAACATTTTAAGAATACGTTTTTGGAATGTTCTTAGAAGGTTTCTTATGGAGCTTTTAGGAAGCTTTTGAGAATATTTCCAAATATGTCAGATACCCACGTTCTAATATGTTCTATTCTACATTCGTAAAATTCTTCAGGAGACGACAAATGCGCCTCACTGTCATAATATGACAGTGAAATGTATTTGTCGTCCCCTTAAAAAATTTTGCGACATATTAATTTTTATTTATTTAAAAATATTAAATAAACAATTTCACCTCTAAACCATAAGTTCTATGGCATTATTTCATAAAAAGTAAAATTGGAAAATTTTGTGGGATAAGTCAGATTAGATTGAAGTTGAAGATAGTTAGGATTATTATACATAAAAATGTTAATTCAGAAATAAAAAATCGGTATACAAATTAATAAATATTTATTTTTAACATAAAATAAAATATAAAAAAACAAAATATTTCCTTATAAAATAATTCTTCATAAAAGAAAAAACCAAATAGTTCTTCATAAAAAAAACATTTTTCATTGTATTTAAGTTGGATAGAAGGTGAATAATTATTCTTTAATAAGCGACTCATTTTGTTTGTTTACTAAATCCTTTTTGATTTTGCAGATAACAGCTTCCGTTTATAAGAAGCAATTACCATCGCAAACAAATAAATCCACTGATAAAATTCTAACAAAAGACGATTCCGAAACAATGATGTTACTAAACAACAAACTTAATGTTACTGTTGTAAACAACACAAAGGTAAGTATTCCAGTTGAAGATAATAACATGAATGATAATTCAAGCCGTACTTATGATTATGGCGATTTCTCTGAGAGTTTTGCAAACAACTCTCTTATTTCGGAACCAGGGAAAGTGCCAAACAGACAAAGGCACTTGACAAGGCCGCAAAGAAGACAATTTTATCCTTATTTCTTTAGTAGGGTACTAGGATAATTGTATTTTAACTAAATGTCACTTGTAATGACCCATTAATCATTAATAGCCGCATTAAACGACGCAATTATCAGGCAATGCAAGACGCTCGCAGTTTTTTCGTATTTTATAAAACACCAATATTTAAAAATATTATATTCTAACTTTTAACCCTGTTAAGGTCATTTTGTTATAACTAAACTGCGCACCACTCAATGTGTCGCGACCAAAAAGTTCGTTCTTTTTCAAAACGAAATAACTTTTTTGTTTCTTGAACTATTTTGTTTTGGTCCTTGTTGTCTGCTAGCCTCATCCTATCGCAATTCATGCTATAGATATGAAGCTCAGGCTTCTTCAAGTAAATTTCCTACAGGGTGATATGTTAAACGGTGAAAAATTACAATAACTTCATCCAAGCCCCGTTTGTAAAAGAAATATTTTTTCTCGTTTTTACTTTGAAATAATGAAGTATTATGTCTCACCTTAAAATGTTTTTCAAATTTTTCGAATTGGAATCTTAGCAACGAAAATTTGATTTTTTCCAAAAGAGTACTTTGTGGGTAATACACTCAGTCTTTTTAGGGACAAGAAGATAAGATGGTGAAAGAATGTTAATTAAATGATTCTGAACAAGCGACTAGCAACAAACATCAATTATTTTCAGAGGTCCTAAGCAAAGACCACTTTTTTAAAATAACATTTTGGTGAAAATTTGAGAAAACTAAACCTAAACCGATATTTACGTTGGTGACATGTTTTCTTCATAATTTTGACCTCCTGATTGTGATTCAGTTGTCAAATTTAAGTTTCAGATAAAACCAAAATCACCAAGAATCAAGATTCGAAAACAATTCCCGGCTGTTAAATGTCTCAATAAAATACGATTGCTGATTTTTACTATATTTTTACTGTGTTTTGCATATTTAGTACGTTATTATCATGTCGCTGAATGATCAAATCAAGGATCAAATGAAAATTAGTTCTTAAAAAACATTTAAAACGCATTCTTGAATTTTTCAGTTTGCTTGTGTTTTTCCTAATTACGAAGTTTTTTAAATTAGTATTTAAGGGACCACCATATTGAGAAAATAAATTGGCCAACTTTGTCTCCGGATATGAATCCTATTGAGCATGTGTCCCTGATCTTCTAAGAAGATATGACCCGGAATAATGGAATATTCTTAGAACCTTCCCTTATTGCTAAGAATGTTTTTAGTGACTTTTAAAACATTCAATAGATAGGGGAGAGTGGGTAGTCATTGGACAATTTTTAGAATTTTGTGCCTGGGTCTCTTTCAAAGTTTCAGGTAATAGTGTTGACTTCTGAAAACGCAAAGAGATAAATATGTGCACTTTAAACCGTAAGATGGGTTTGCTACGAATTTTTGAAATTTTTCGGTCATCTGTCCAAAGTCACCCCACATACGGGGAGATTCTGGACAACGTAAGGGGTGCATTTGGACACTATAAAAATATTATAAATTTAGGAATTTTATTGAAAAAATCAGAGCAAAACTTATTCAATACTAAATTGCGACAAATTAAAATTAAAGTAAATCATGTTATGGAATCGAACTCCGTCAGTGGGGGGGAAGAACCAATACCACGTCTTTAAAATCCACCAAGGCTTCTTTAAATCTGTATGATAGAAACTGCCTTTTAAGAAATTTGACTGTATATCCTTGGTTTAATTTTTGCAATATTCTGCTAAAGAAGTGCCGGGACGATGTTTGGACAATAGAGGAAAACTCTAGACAATGTGTCCAAACTCTCCCTACATGATGTGAAAAAAAAATGTTCATAATTTCAAAATATAGCAACGGAATAAAGTAAGGATATAACAAAAGTTCCATGCTTTATACATGCTTTAATATGTAGTAACTTTAAATTATTTATCTACAACGGTCTGGGCAGAAAAGCTTACAAGGGGAAAGTAAAATATTACATGAAAAAACTCGAAAATAAACTTTTCCACTTACCTCTTCTACAGCTAAACTCAAACTTATTTCACTACCACTATTTGATACCTTACCAACTTGACGATCTGTAATAGTAGAACCAACCTGAAATTTTTACTGGAACCGCGAAATTCGTCCATTGTCCATTGTCTCCCAGTGTCCAGACCCTCCCCACTCTCCCCTACCCTTTTAATAATGCAATTAGATTCTTAAAAGCTTCTTAAAACCTTCCCAAAAAGCATCCTAACGTTTTTGGTCGCGACACATTGAGTGGTGCGCAGCTTATATTATAACTAATATAAGAACATGTCTTATTAGTTTACTTACCCCCCAGGACAAAATCCTGCGTACGCCCCTGTTCTTTGCAAGCCCTTGCGAGTCTCGCAGCCTGAAACTTACGTCGTGTAAAGCGGTTTTAATAAATAAATTTTAACTAGCTGTTGCTAACTTATATTATAAATGTTTATTTTATTGAAAATCGGTTATTTCCGTTTATGAACTTAAAATTTTAGTTATGTATGACAATATAATTTTATAGTTATGTAGATAATTAAAACCTTGAGAGAAATGATCCGGGAAACATTGGCATTAATACTTCATAAGTGGCTTTCATGCCAAACAATTTTGTTTATGTTATCTAAACATTGCCAATATTCCATTTTTCTATAGAGCCTAGTTTCGTCAAAAACCGTCAACTTTTGTTACAATCTATCCGGTTTATAAAACTTTTTGCAAGTGTTATGTTCTTTTTCTTATGAACAGAAAAAAAGGAATGGTTAATTTAACTATATTAATTTTGTTGACCCATATTTATTTCAATCAACTGTGGGAAGGTTAATATAAACAAAGATTAGTTTGACGGTACTAAACCAGATAGTTATTTTATTTTTTTAAATTCGTTAAATTAACCCAGAACACTTTAGTGAAACCAACCCGCTGTATGGTTCAGTTTACTAAATATGTTTTTTGTAAAATAAAAGTTACTTCATTGAATCAACCTTAAGCACTCTGTTAAAACGATTAAAACAATTTTCCGTGCATTCCTGGTTGCATAGTATGTACCGATCCCGGCAAAGGCGGTGTGGATCACGTGATGTTCTTAAATCTCGCCTCTGTTGACTTACATGGAGAGTATATAAGCTCAGGTAGTCCTTTGCTTTGATGTGACACTCCAAGTTGTTCGATACTAAAGAGACCTTAAATAGGTGGAAACAGCTGTCAATACTTGGTATTTTAAGCTGGTGGAACGCACTAAAATCATTATCTCTATCGAGGTGAAGGTTCAATTTTCTGGAATATTACCACTGGTATTATACTAGTAATGCGTCAACGAATTTTCTGTTTCTTGAAGAATGTAAGAAAATTGAATGAATGGCTTGAAAAAAAATGTTTCTACTCCAAATATTTTAAGATCATATTTTTATTGTTAGGTATTCACTTTAACTATATAAATGTTTGTTTAAACGGTTTAAATTAAACCAAAGATTTAGTTAAATGAAACAAATAATAGTTGGGCTAACTAAACCTTTTTTTCTGTGGATCCATGGATTCAAATTTTTCACCCCATTATTTACCAAATATATTATTTAATAAATAATAAGTAAAAAATTCATTTTCCGTATTTTTAAGTCTACCCGGCCCCAACACTTTAGAAGCTTGTAAACTGTTTGATGTACAGCACGTGGGCTTCAAATAGAAAAAAGGAGGTAATGCTTAGGCTTCTTAGATGTAACATAACAAACATAACATACCTACATAAACAAAATCAAAGTATTCATTACTATACTATATACTTACTTAGACTGAAATCAGATTATTGTATTAATAATAATATAGTATTATAGATTTGTGTGCCAATTTAGAGGTAATTAAATATAAATTTATTAAATTAGCTCAACCCTTATGCTGTTTTATTTATATTCTTATGTATAGATACAATATTCAAATACATTAATAGATTAAATTAAATTATAAATAATTATAATTGTAGGACCTATAATGTATGTATTAAATACTTTTTTAGAGGTTTTTGTTAATATCAATGATTCCTGGGTTTAAAATCTTGGAAATATTAAGTAATACAATTAGTTTTGTCAATTACTAAGTAATGTGTATTAATGTATTAAAATATAAAATGTTCTTTTACAGTAAAAATCCAATTTAAAGTAAATTCTAAATAAGTGCTCAAAAATTTACTTGGGGTCTTAATTTTGAAAAATTTAACGAGCGCTAAAAACTGTATGGCACCAGTACCTATATACCTATAACTGGAATTAACGGTAAATTTATGAGCATTTTTTATTAGACTTTACGTTCTGTAATAAAGAATATTCCATGCTGAGCACAAAAAAACTTCGCGAACAAAATTGCACAATGTGAAAAATGCATATTTTATTTAAATCTGTGCACCGTCCCTCTTCCCGTCCTATATTTAACACCTGTGTCTAGTTATATATGCAGAGAACGATTCTAGTAATAAAAAATTGGACTTATGTGTCAATGTTATATGTAAATGCCAAGACATTTAAATTAAGTTTATCGACAGGCAAATATTTATGCAAGCCAGATTTATTTGTAATGCACACTATTGCAAAAATAAAAATATAAAATATTTAAATTGTTTTTTATTTATATTGTATCCTATCCTTATCGGACACATCAATTACATTGTCCTATTGCAATTTAAAAATTAGTTTTTTAAAATTAAAAAACATATTTAATTTTATACGCTAATGAAAATGTTAAAAAATATCGAAAAAAAACCGTGTGCACGATTTGTTATTTCGAGAGGAAATCCTGGGTTGAGTTTTTATCGGTTTTCCAATAAACAGTGTTAATCCGAATGAAGAAATAAATTTCATTCAGTCCCTGTAAATATAAATTGTATCTATTAGATATAATAAATACACATTTTAGTAATGATTAACGTTAAAAGTGTAAAGATTTCAATTCAGTAAAAATCGTCAAACAAATTAGTAAGTACCTAGTCTAAATTTAAACAGCATTTAGCATTATTAAAAGCGTTGATTAAGAAAGTCTTCTTGTTAATTTGTTTGACGATTTAATTTATATAATATTATGTTGCCATTAATTCGTAGGTATATATATATATTTTGTTGTTTAAAATGCAGTTGTCATTTTTTAGACAACTCAAATATAAAAATGGTT